GACTGACATTAATTATGTTTTAGCCTCTAAACCTGTTACTGAAATAGCAAATAAACCATTCCATCATTTTCCCCAGGACAAACTTTGGGTAACCCATCTATATCGGCTAATGGTCCCTTTTATCCTTTCTAAACACTGGAACTTCATTGGCAGTACTCCAGTTCTTTAGAATTTACCTCATCTCCCAGATGTATATTGAATCAGTTGTAATGGCTTAGAAATCTCTTTAGCTTCTTTATTTAGGTTTTTACATGCATAATATCTGAGCCTATTAATTTAGATGTTTAATTTTTTGCAGATTCTGTCTTGTATCATCCTTAAAGGTAATGTCATATGCTCTCCACTCCATCTACATCAGCATATGCGATGGAATAGGTCTTCCTGCTTCATTGCAAATACTGAAAAGAAATAGTTAATGAACAATTTTTCTTCCTTCCATGCCACAAATTACAATTGTACCTTACAATCATCACCTGACCTCTCAGGACTTTTGTTTCTAGCATATTTATAAGAATTTTTTCAACTCACTACATGGGTCATTGATATTTTATTGATTCCGCTAGCATCTCTGAATAGTCACTTGTATTTTTTATGCTCAGTTCAATTTACTTCTCCTTTTCTTATCCTTTATATGTACATAAAGTAATACTTACACTACTTTACACAAAAATAGTGTAAGTAACCATTTAGAGATGCAGTGAAATCAATAAAATGCCAAAGACCCATGCAGCCAATTGCCACCTGCCCTCTTTCGGGCGCGTGCATAGTTGGCTCCCAGCGTTACAGACAATCAGATGGAAGTACTAAGCCTATTATTATATTAGAATATAAAAATAATGAGAACAGAAGTAAATTGAAGTGTGTGACCATTCAGAGATGCCAGTGGAATCAATAAAATTAATATGCTCACTTCCACATCTCCATTTCTTGCCCAGCCTAATTTTTCCTGTCAGCAGAATCCTGTTTTTGGACCATTCTGTAGAAACCACAGAAAAATAGGGCTATTAGGGACCTACAGAGGTCACTGAGGCCCCTGACGGGTTAATCACATCTTAAGTAATGGCCCAGCACACGTTCATTCAATTAGTGGCATGATAAAACAAGGAATAAGCCACAAAGTTATTGCACAAAATATGCAGATACCTTACTACTCACCAGTACAGGGGGAACTCGGGAACGTGATCCTGGGCTCCTCCTGCACTGGCAATACAGCACAATCAGGATCTAATCCCCGATCCCACAATCATGCTTCCTGCCATTCACATATGGCACGGCAGGAAGCACAACTGCAGGGAGCATGCATCAGATCCCATCATACCTTTCATTTAATGTCTGTCAGCAGCCCCAGCCCAAGACCCTGATCACGGCAGGATCATCACTATCTAATCCATTTTACACAAATGTTTGTCAAACCTATTTTCAGAACTGCCTGGCAAGGATAACCTTGAACAATTCCAAAGGTTTGTTTGGGTGGTTGTTTTTTTTGTTTTTTTTTTAATTTACACCTTAAATTTAAACCTCACTGTCTGTTATGCCAGCTTTGGAAAGGCAGCCTCTTTTAAAAGCTCCAAAATGTTTGTTACTAGTCAGTGCTATGCTCTGTTTGCATAAGCTAAACTAACCACATGGTGATCACTGATGCCTAGGCAACTGTTAACTGTTAAGTCAGTGATTAACTCTTTGTCAGGAGAAGCTCCAACAGTTTTGGAGCACGGAGCTTTCAGAGTTGAAAAGTCAATTATATGCAGGAACTCCAAGGAAGTCCTGGCCACAATAGATAGCAAATAAAATTCTTCCTGGTTGAGGGCAGCTATAAAATAGTTTTTCTCCAAACATTTCTCCAAATTGTATTTAAGAAGCAACTTGTCCTATTTTATAGTTAAATTAGGCAGCCCACAACAGACGCCTACATGCATCCAATCTTTAGTTATTAGTCATGATTTTAATCCTTAGCCAGTTGAGGTCCAAGAATGCTGAATATTCTGTTACTTCCTGGCCATTCATATGGCCTTTTACTCAAGCTTCATGATACTTCTGTACCTGGACCTAAAGAAGTGACATTTGAGGTGACAGGCAAAGCCGGACACAGGCATGGGCAAATCAGGTGGCTGCCCAGGGCCCGGACAGAAAGGGGGCCCAGAAATAAAACAAAATGCAGCCAAAAAATCATTCTCTCTGGCGAAGGGGGGCCTAATACTAAAAGTTTGCCTGGAGCTGCCACGAGTCTAGGTACGTCCCTGGTGACAGGATGCAAGTTTCAAAAGTTTCAAGGAATTTTCTCTGCATTAAGAGGCACAACCCTACTGAATCTAAAAATCAGAGCAAGCCGAAAAGGACAAAAGGGGCATAATACAGAATTCCTAACATTTAGTCAGCAAAGCAGCCAGTTTCAACCACCAATGGCAGCTGTAAACACATCCCAGTAGAACAGCAGCTATTTACAAGGTGCACATATGCAAAGAAGCTGGACTTTGAGGAAGAGGTAAATAAAAAATAAAAGCAAAACACTCCATTCTAGGTTGATAAATATATCAGCCCCCATCACACTGGCCAGTAGTTGAAAGACATTTTATTAACCTGATTTCCTACCACCACCTTTGGACTTCTGTGCCATTTGAAGGCATAAGTGTGTTTGTGATGGGTAAGTTTCTTTGGTTCCCCTCACTCCCCACCCCACAATACAATGAAAAAAGGCCTATCAGAAAAATGTAGTAGGTATTAGAAATATACAAATAATCCACTTCTGCTGACAGATTTACAGATACATGTTTAGCAAGTCAGATAAGAATACTCCAGCCTTACACTTTATGTTCTCTTACATGAGAAGTCAGAGCTCCTGCTGCCTTAAACCTCAGTAAGGCACATTACAAATTTGATATGCTCAAAAACAAATCACTCAGCCAGCACTGACGACGCAAAAAAATGACAGCAGTTGGAAGAGTAAAACTAGATGGTAAATACCCTGCTAGCATACAAATTTTTTTGCAGAGTGCCCCAATCTGTTAAATCACAAAGCAGTGCATTTCCCAAGCAATTTCAGTGCAAGAAAATCAAACATGCACTTTAAGTTGAGACGACTCAACTCTCTAATTACAGACGTTCAATATCCTTCACAACAGAATTCTCACCTGGGTAAAAAAACCTCCCCCAAATACATGAACCAAGTTCGGTAGAACCCAGATAATAAGCAGGGTGAGAGGTTCCTTACCCCTCACATCGGACAGGTTGTGAGGTAATCAGGGCTATACAGAAAAACTGCACAGGATCGCTTTGGTGCTCCAGCTAATTATTGCAGCTTTTATTTTGAGGAGCGTCACTTCTTTGCCTGGCTGCAAGGGATGGCTGAAGAGCTGCAGCTGATTGGTGCCCTTTGAAGTAACAGTCATAGCAAAGAGCCAAGTGGCTCACCCTTAATTTGGCAACCCGAATTAAGTGGGTTGTGAACCACCCAGATGGATTCAAATTCTATCAGAACTTGTATAGAAACTTTTAAAAGGGAGAAGCTAGTCTGTAAGGGGTGTCTTTTCCTGGAGAATCTTTTTCCCCCAAATACTTGCCATTTAGTGATATATGACTTTTGAAGTAGTCTAAAGTAGCTACTTCACATCTAACTTTGCAAGATACAGAAAAAAATGCCTATGCCTTTGTTACTAATGATTAGCCATATCTAAAAGATAAGAAGGGGAAAATCTTCTTCGCTAAGGGCAGGGACACCCTCCACAGTTTCTTCCCAATTTAAATAACTACCTTCCTCTTGAGAACTGAGACAACTTATTCCACATCAACAGCAGTGTTACTCTTCCCCATATTTGCATCAGGAGAACTTTACTTTACTGTTCTACTGTAATATTTGGGTTTGGCTTTCCATAGATACTTCTAGTTCAGCCATCTTAATATAGGACTACAGGGTAATGGTACATCATTGCTGGTATCCCATTGCTCCACAACAGCAAGACAGATATCTCTATCTAAAAGCACATGGGCTGTATAGATGTGATACCAATATTTGCTAACTCTTTACTGATGTGAAGTTGTACAGCAGTTTCTGAAAAGCATGCCATAACCCAGACTTGCAGTCACGATTCTCTCCCAGCAGTCCTCTCAATTATTTATTCACTTGAAAAAGTTATTGATAATATTTCTATCTTAGGACAGGAACTCTTAGATCTCCATTTCTATAAAAGCAGTAAAGATTAAACCTCTTTGGTGTGAGCAGCTGCAGGAGGGTGGGACTTTAGTTAAATAATTTATTCTAGATGGTTCACTGGCTTATCAGTATCTTTTTAATCTTTGCTCACAAACGCAGACTGAAAAATTACTTCTTTATTCCCTTCAGAAGTCAATTTCTATTTTAAAGATGGGGGGTAGTTTCAGGTGTCAATCAGTGAACAAAGATTGTTTAGTTCATCAGGATAATGTTATCTGTGAATAATCAATGGAGAAATAATGTAACTCTCAGATACAATACAGAACTGAATCTCTAGAACTGTATGGTAAATGAATGTTAAAAATGAAGTATTTGAGTTATCAGCACAGTCAATATATGCACAAATTCAAAGAAAACTAAAGCTGTTGCCGTTATAGGAAAAGACAACCCCATGCTTCACATTTCTTCCTGGTAAGAAAAGCTTATTGTCAGAATAACTAAAAAATGACCTGGAAAAGCATACTGAAAACCCAGTGAAGAGATGGAATCAGTCATAAACCCATTTCTAGTTCCACATATAATGAAATCCCCCAAATAAGGTGGCAAATACTTCTTACAAGGTCTGAACATCTGCAACTGACACGTCCAATACTCTATTATCATGTGATAGATGCTAGTTAGATCCAGCCTAACAAATGCTCCCTCTAAGTGCAGATGCTGAGAAAATGACAAAATTAATAGCCACTTAAAGAACAAGATACTATGTAGAAGGTTCAAAACATAACAGATAATGAACTAGATTCTATCACCATTTAAGTTTTTTTTTTTTATAGGAGTGCACAAATATACATACTCTGGAGCAAACTTGTCCAGTCTCTTGAAGAGGTCATTTTTCACTTCCTGGTTCTCCACAATAGCTTCTATCACAAGATCAGTACTGTGTACAATGGCTACTGGATCTGTGCTCACTGTCAAGTTCTTTAAGGTACTCTCAATGAACTGAGTGGCAGCCTGAAAAATTACAAAGGTGTCACTAAATCATGTATATAATGCTTCATATATTTTGATCTGAAAGCTCCCATATTTCAAAAACGAAACAAAATTATTTATTTGAGCTTTGAACTTAAGTGATATGCTAGATACTGTATTCCAGGTCAGTTAAGCATGTAAAGTCTATGCAAATACTCTACTTCCACAGATACACTAAACTTCCCTGTTAAGTTAAATTTCAGAACCAAATAGAAAGAACCCTTAATTAATTCCTTTAAATTGACCATTTTCTTCCCAATCCAACTCCAACCTTCAAAATGAGAATTCCAAAGAACAATCCATTTCTCAGGTCAGTACTTTTCCAGGACGGTCTTGACCTACTCTCAGCAAAAATAGACTTCTCCTGTTGTAAGTACATAAAATGTTCTTCCTTGTATAAAGCAGCTTTATCTGGGTTCACAACTCATTGTTATCATTCACAGCACTTCATGGACACCTCAGAAAATTAAATGTCTTATAAGGAAAAGCCACTGTACTGGAGGTCTTCTGGGAATGAGGAAAAATTAATCTCTCCCTCTCTCATCTGACTGGCAAAGCTGTTAATCACTGACACACTTTATGAGGACAAAGATCAAATATAAAGGCAGGTTTTAAACAAGGGAGAATGGAGACCCAGTACAACTGAAGAGAGATCCTTATATGCTCCATTCTGAGATCGCACAGCTTGTCTATGGATGAAACTATACCAGGCTTGGGGTCAGAGGCAGAACCGCAGTCGCCTCCCCACAAGCACCCCACAGCTTCTGCCCCCCACCACTTACCATCAGTTACAGCTCGAGGCCCATTCCAGCCTGAGGCACAGAATACATGGTAGCTCTGGTCTGGGTCTGGCCATGTGCTCGTGGCTGCAACAGCAGCAGTTCCAACCCCAGGACACCAGAGCTGCTTCTACCACCATGGCGTGGAGGGGCAAGCAGGGGGACAGAGGCTGCAGGAAAGGCAGGCATGACGTGGGGGCATGTGGCAGGGGGGCAAATGAGGGGTAGGAGGGAGGAGACAGACAGTAGGGGTCAGGCTGCTTGACCTCTACCACCTGCTCTTTTGCCACTGCTTTCCCACTATAGTGGGGGGGGGGAATTTAAGACAATCCTTAAATAATTAGATTCTATACATGGAAAATTATTAGAAAATTGTAAGTTTTCCATGTATGGAATCTAGCTATTGGCAGGGTTTCTTAAATTTAAAAGTCGTCTTGGATTTGGGTAAATACAGTATTGTCAACCATTAAAACTACTAAAGCAGAATTTTTATCGAAGTCAATGAAGTTGGCTTAGTGGTTATAAATACTAAAATGTCACCTCAGGTTTGTCTGCAAACTTCTTCTTTGCTACTTTTTTCAAGCTCTCCTCAATTCCTTTCTTTGAATTTTTCAGAATTTCATCTGTCTGGTCCACTAAGACCACCGTGTGACCAGCTGCTGCAGCGACCTATAAAAAAAAAGTAGCCATCTAGATTATTAAAGTTAGCAAAGGTTAGCCTTGTAACACAGTACTTGTAAAAAAGGTATTTTATGAGACTACTAAAAGCAAAAATACAAAAAATGTGCTGGACCCACGCAGTATCAGTTCCTTGCTGCTTAACACTCAGGACTGGTGTCAGGAATAGAGGCCCCCAGCTACCTTGGGTTACCTGCCAGTGGCCTAACTACTTCCAGCTGGCCCTAGTTACCTACATGGGTTGGACTGCCTGCTTAGAAGGAGCAGCCCTTTCAGTGTACAGCAGGATACTCAACAGGACAGATACCCTTCTAGCCTTAGGCCTCTGATTCTTTGTTGTTAGTTTCCTAGTTCCTGCCTGTTGATTTTGCCATTTTCCAGTTCATGGTTCCTTTGGCTTTGAGCTAACTCCCGAATGTAAACACCAAAGGGTACAGTCTGCACAAGGAACCAAGGACATTTTATACAATCCTTCCCATGTGAGATCTTGGATCCCTGGCACCAAGTCCCTCGCCCACCACCATGCCTGTTTCTCCTGACAAGCAGCTGTTAACAGAAAACTAGACTTGCCAGTAGAAGGTAACAAAATTCACAAAGGACTTGGTTTTCTCTCTAGCTTCAATTACTTTATGTTTCAGATGTTCCCAAAGCTCCACATTAATGATCTTATTAAGCCAGGCCTTGAAGGTTTCTCTAAAAGTTCCAGTGCCAGGAAACTGAGAAGTTATAAATGAACTTCACAATCGAGTTGACAAAATGCATGTCTTCCTTCTGCAAGAGATTCCAGAAAAAGAGTGGAGAAAGCTGTACCTGTGAGGGAGCACTCTTATTAAAGGATAAAGTGGGGAACTGGTTATTAGGAGGCCAGAGGCCACATGGAGACACTTGCATCCCTGCTGCCAAGGCCAGGAGGATTCTGCAGCATGCCTCATTCACCACAGCTCAGGCTCCCAAACTACAGGGCTTACTGGGGGGGGTCCAGCAAGTCAGATGGAGGGGCTCCGTATCTTTGACACACACATCTTAAGAATCCTCTTTTTCAGGCAACGTGTGGGACCTCAACAGGAAAAACCAAAACTCCGTACTCCTCAGTAAAAACTACACACCAAAGCCCATCTAAATTTGAAACACAAATATACAGTAGGACACTGCTCGAATTAAAATGAGAAATCAATTCCATCTGAATATCTTTTACTTCGTGTTATGATTAGCAATTCCTCTGTCCCCCACTCTGCAATGATCTCCCTATTTCTATGCAAAGTCCTAGTTACTTCAGCGTACAACACAGAAGCTCATTCTCAGGTTCGGGCCCAATATTACCATAAAAGAAATAATTAAAGAAAATATACAGGGTTGTTTTTTTCAGTTTCTGTACTGTGCACAACACTACTTTGTATAGGCGGTCAGTTTCCTTTGCTTGTACATGTCACATGACTACAGGCAAGAATATTTTAAAAAACCTGAAAAATGTGACTGCCAACCCCTGTCCCCATCCCTCCCCTCCCCCCGAAAAAAGCAAAAACAAAAATAAAAACTGGAGGGAAAGTCAGCTTTAGTACCTGGGCAGTGGGCAGCATTCTTAGAAACAGACCAGATTGCAGATTTACTTTGTATTTTTAACTGAAGTTGATTTCAAATCAGATCTAATAAAAATATTACATTTGTACTCAAATGGGAAGAGTAGGGCACAAACAGAAGGAAGATGAGGAATGTAATAAGGGAAACATCAACACCAAGATAAGCACACTCGAACTTCTTTTCTTTCACATGGCTTCATTCAGAGTGAATTCCATATGGGCTTTAAACACAGCCAAATATTGGAGTACTTAGTACTTGTAAATCAAGAGACCCCTGTTACACTTGAGAAAAGAGTTTCAAAGATCTAAATATTTATGACATTGTCTGGTTAATTCTGCTCTTAGAGAACCTGAACTTCATGAATCTGTGTGAGAATCTGACATTGTCCATTTAATTCTGCACATTTCTATTATAATCTAAGGTAAAAACAAGATCTAAAAAAGAAAAAAAACCCAATAAAATGAACAGGAGGCAGAGGCCCTGAAGGCATGGTATCTCTGTGCTAGATACCATGTAAATAGATAACAAGAGGCTCCTGCCAAGATTATCCAAGAGATACATTAGAGTGAGAGGAGTACCAAGAGACCCAGTTACAGTAGAGGTGGAAGGAGCTATTAAACAAGCAAACACATGGCAGCTGAAAAATACGGTCAAAAATATCAAATATGTGCAGAGTGGAAAAACTGGCTTAGGAATCAATCCTGTAACACACTCAACTATCAACACCCTCAATGGGAACTGAAGATACTCAGGATCACCAGGTATTGCTCAGAGTCCCACAGGAATGAGCCCAAAGGGAGGCCCAGAGCTGCACAGAGAAGGTCCTTCACTTCAGAGAGACATCTAAGGGAATATTTTATATTGCAAGGCTGACCCTATTGAATTAATTTGCTGAGAGAAATGCAAAGGCACAAGCATTCCACCTCCTCTTCCCTGTCCCCACTGGAAGCTCAATCATGCCTTTGCATAAATAACTGGCATCCCGCATTAGTTCTGCTTTACGAATATTGTAGGCATACGTCTATCTGAGCACCAAAGGAAAATTCTGATAGACTTCTTAATGCCTTCAATCTAAGCATAACTCCTAGTGGTAGAAGGAAGGCAGGTATGCCTGTCTGCACTGTGATGGCAGGGGCCCAAACACAGATGCCGCATTCATGTGCTCCTATGTGCTTCAAACCAGAAAGAAGTGGGTAGGCCTACTCTGGGGTCATGCCTACTAGGCACACTCCTGGGCACTGAAGACTGAGGTTACAGTCACAATGGTAACAATGATTACAGGAGACATATTCCAGCAGATTTATTTCCAGGTGTAGAAGATGAAGCTGGAATAGGTAGGCAGGCTGAACCCAGAGGCATCTCTGCTAGGACACTGCTACTGTACCCCAATGCCTAGCTAGCCCTTTAGCTACACAACTTGCATCCACTCCCAAACTGCTACCCGTGAAGATACTGTAAGTGATTTATAGCTGGTCTGTGGTCACTCTCCCACATGAAAGACTTGATTGTAAGGGTGCATGGTGGCCCACGAGGAATTCGGAAAGCTGACAGCCATCCATTGGTCCCAGACGGTCGGCAGTCACTGGCCTATGTGGCAATGTCAGCTGGAGCCCAGGATGGCAAAGTAGAACAAATCAAAAGCCGAGCAACCTGCATCTGAGGGCAAGGCCGTGCTGCAAAAGGAAGAGCTGGTTTCACAGAATCACAGGGCCTTTTCACATGTGCCCCAGGAGTGTGGGGGATGCCTTAATGGGAGCAGCTCCAATTAAAGCACCCATGGCATCTCCTGTATCGGCTTATTCAACGGGCTTTAGTCCAGCGGCTGCCGCAGCGTGGGAATTACCACGCTCCAGTGAACTCGGTTTTGAACTGGCTCCGACGCACTGCAATTCCAGTGTCCAAGGGTTTGGACAGGGAGGATATCCAAGGGTTTGGAGCCACTGAATCCAGAGGCCCCTGGAGGTACCTTCCAGCCCCGTGACTCCTGTACTCGAGCAGCCTCTGGGTTTGCATACAGGAGATGACGGTCTGGAAGGCACCTTCAGATCCTCCATCCAAACCCTCCCAGAATCTAACCCTACCGAAGCTGCCTGTGTGTTCACTGCTTCAACTTCGAGGTGACTGGTGCAAACAGTGCTTGACATTATTTTCCAGTCCAGACCATCTCTCCTAGTGTCGGCCACCCCGTTTCAGATCCATGAAGGTACCAACCTCCTTCCAGAGGGGCTGCGAGG